TGGTGGCCTGAGTGCTCTGCCAGTGAAAACAGGCTCCTGGACTCCATTTTCAGCTGCCACAGTCTCCTGCAACCCTCTGCCAGTGAAAATCCCTCCCCCAAGCTCCGTTTTTGGCTGCCGCAGCCTCCTGCAACCCTCTGCCAGTGAAAATGGGTTCCCGAACTCCATTTTCAGCCGCCACAGCTTCCTGCAACCCTCTGCCAGCAAAAACAGGCTCCCGAGCTCCATTTTAGGCTGCCACCGCCTCCTGCATTCCTCTGCCAGCGAGAACAGAGCTCGGGAGGGCCACCTTCGCAGCCGAAAATGGAGCTTGGGAGCCCGTTTTTGCTGGCAGAGGCACAGAGGGCCGATCCTTCGCTGTTTTCGGGATGGCCCCGCGGGCCAGATCTAAGCACCCTGTGGGCCACATCCGACCCATGGGCCTTAAGTTTGATACCTCTGCTTTAGAGGTCCTTGACCCACATTCAAAGGAGAGAGAGGAAAAAAAGAATTACTAGCATATGCATATGCAAAAAAAAAACCCCAAAACATTTTGTTTCTCTTTTCCTAAATGTGTTTTTTTTTAAAACCACACACTCACAACCCGGAAGATACTTTCTCTTGGCATAAATCGACTGCCGGGATTTTTCTACACCAATGGGTCTGCAATGCAAATATAAAACTGACATTAGAATGTGTATACATTTCTCTGCATCTATTAGCCACACCAACATGTGGCCCCAATCAAGGCTATTTAATCTTCCATGTGAAAACTGCTTAGGTTTTATGGGTCCTGCCTCTCACATCTGCTGCTGAAGTTTGCAGAGTTCAAGTTATTTATATTAATTAGTATGCAAGGGAAGATAAAAACCTTGCATAAAGTTCTGGTTTGGTCTCGTTGTTTTAGGTTATTGTATTATTTTCAAGTTGCCTTTTGAGCAAGAAGACGAAGAAGGGAGGAGGAGGAGGAGGCCTCCCTCAGGATGAAATGCTCTGTAGGAAAAATAGACTTTTACATCTATAAATAAATTGAAAATACACTTTTTAATCTGTAAATCAGTGAAAATACACTTTAGAATTGAATAGAATAGCAGAGCTATAGCAATAGCAATAGCAGTTAGACTTATATACCGCTTCATAGGGCTTTCAGCCCTCTCTAAGCGGTTTACAGAGTCAGCATATTGCCCCCAACAACAATCCGGGTCCTCATTTTACCCACCTCGGAAGGATGGAAGGCTGAGTCAACCCTGAGCCGGTGAGATTTGAACCGCCGAACTGCAGATAACAGTCAGCTAAAGTGGCCTGCAGTACTGCACCCTAACCACTGCGCCACCTCACCTCAGAGCTGGAAGGGACTTTGGAGGTCTTCTAGTCCAACCCCCTGCCTAGACAGGAAACCCTATACCGTTTCAGACAAATAAATATCAAACATCTTCTTAGAAAACTTCCAGTGTTGGAGCATTCACAACTTCTGGAGGCAAGTGGTTCCACTGATTCATTGTTCTAACTGTCAGGAAATTTCTCCTTAGTTAGAATAGGAATAGGGAATAGGAATAGAATAGAATAACAGAGTTGGAAGGGACCTTGGAGGTCTTCTAGTCCACCCCGGCCTAGACAGGAAACCCTATACCGTTCCATTGGTGGATTGTTCTCACTATCAGAACATTTCTCCTTATTTCTAGATGGGATCTCTCCTTGATCAGTTTCCATCCATTATTATTCCTTGTCTGGCTTTTGGGTGGTTTGGAGAATAGCTTAACCCCCTCCTCTCTGTAGCAGCCCCGCAAATATCGGAAGGCTGCTATCCTGTCTCCCCTGGTCCTTCTCTTCTCTACCTTCTAAGTCATTAATTAAAAAAATAATCTCTTTTCCTTTAATTGATAATCTACCTGAACCTCCAATGGATAGATTTTGTTTTAAACAATGAACTTCTCAATTACCATCTTTTTCTTTAGATTCAGACAAATGGCTATCCAACTTCTTCTTAAAGACTTCCAGTGTTGGGGCATTCACAACCTCTGGAGGCAACTTCTGTTCCACTGATTCATTGTTCTCACTGTCAGGAAATTTCTCCTTAGTTCTCGGCGGCTTCTTCTCTCCTTGTTTAGTTTCCACTTTTTAAATCTGTAAATAACTGAAAATACACTTTTAAAATCTGCAAATAAGTGAAAATAATCTTTTTAGTCTGCAAATAATCCACCTTTAGAGCAGGTAGATGGATCCGCGGGAAACAAAGACGGCGGGGGCTGATCGAAATTAAAAACTGGATGCAGCACAGGTAGTCCTCGACTTATGACCACCGTTGATTTGGGTTGTTCAGCGAGACAGTTGTGGATCGAGGTTTGCCCCCTTCTACGACCTTTCTTGCCACATTTGTTAAGCGAGTCGCTCCAGTTGTTAAGTGGGGAACAGGGCGGTTAAGCGAATCTGGCTTCCCCATTGACTTTGCTTGCCTGCGCGCCGCAAAAGGGGTGGGGGTGGGGGTCACATGACCCTGGGACATTGCGACCGTCGTAAATATGAGTCAATTGCCAAATATCTGAATTTCGATCACGTGGCCTGCAACAGCTGTAAGTGTGAAACCTGGTCACTTTTTTGCAGTGCCCCTTGTAACTTCGAATGGTCACTAAGTGAACTTCTGCAAGTCAGTGGCTATCTGCGGTTGTTAATTTGCCACCCCATAACCCCTCTGAACCTCCCGGTTTTGTATGACAGGAGTCTTAGGCAAGCTGCTTCTAAATTAATTCCTCTAACTGGAGTCTGTATTTGTGGTAGGCTAAAATGGTGTGTGATCTTCAGTCTGTGGTCACAACCGTTCTCCTCCTTACTGTTGTTTCGTTTTAAGCTAAAAATGGCCTCGGTGTTTATAATAAGAGGTTGCAATGCCATAAACTACCCAGGCAGGAAAATGGAGAGATTCATTTGAAGTACGTCCCTGGAGCAGTCCCGCAAACACCAGGCCATCATTACTGCATTCATTCGGTATCAGCATTGCTGTAAAAAAAAAATGTATTCTGGGGTGTGATGAGAGAGGGAAGAAAAGAGGGAGAAAGAGGGAGGGAGAGCGAGGAGGAGGGGAGGCAGAGGGAGGGAGGGAGAAAGAGAGGGAGGGAAGGAGAGTCGGAGAGAGAGGGAGAAAGAGAGGGAGGGGGAGAAAGAGAGATAGAGATAGGGAAGGAAGGAGAGAGAGGAAGAAAGTGAGTGGGGGAGGGAAAGAGAGGGATGGGAGAGAGAGAGGGAGAGAGGCAGGGAGGGAGAGGGAGGGAGAAAAAGGGAGGGAGGGAAGGAGGGAGAGAGAGTGGGAGGGAAAGGGAGAGAGGGAGAAAGAGAGGGAGTGGGGAGAAAGAGATAGAGAGAAGGAATGAGAGAGAGAAAGCGAGAGAGGGAGGGAAAGAGAGGGATGGAAGAGAGAGAGGGAGGGAGGCAGGGATGGAGAGAGAGGGAGGGAGAAAAAGAGAGGAAGGGAGGGAGAAAGAGTGTGAGAGGGAGGGAGACAAAGAGAGAGGAAGGGAGGGAGACCGAGGGATGGAAGGAGAGAAAGAGTGGGGGAGGCAAGGATGGAGAGAGAGGGAGGGAGAGAGGGAGAAAGAGAGGGAGTGGGGAGAAAGAGAGATAGAGGTAAGGAAGGAGAGAGAGAGAAAGCGAGAGAGGGAGGGAAAGCGAGGGATGGAAGAGAGAGAGGGGGGGAGAAAAAGAGAGAAAGGGAGGGAAGGAGGGAGAGAGAGGAAGGGAGGGAGAAAGAAAGCGAGAGAGGGAGAGAGACAAAGAGAGAGGAAGGGAGGGAGACCTAGAGATGGAAGGAGAGAGAGAGGGAGGGAGGCCAGGATGGAGAGAGAGGGAGGGAGAAAGGGAGGGGGAGAGAGGGAGAGAGAGTGGGAGGGAAGAAAAGAAAGAGGGAGAAAGGGAGGGAGGGAGAAAGAGAAAGCACCTACCTTGTTTTCTGGAGGAATCGCTCATCTGAATTTCAAGAGGAGCAGAAGGAAATAATGACATTATATAAATGCACATAACTCATTTCAGCCACAGGGTAAAAGCTTTGCATGTTAGAAAGTTCGGAGCGCCTTATTAAGATTGTCCCATGCTTTAATTCACTGAGGTGTTAATTATAGCCTCCTTTTACAGCAAGGACGGCGGATCAGGGACTCTCACCAAAATCCAGTCCCAAAAACACTTGTCCCCCCCCCTTTTTTTGTTTTGAGACCAAGGACCACTGGAGCTTCAAGACAAGGAAGGAGACCACCAGATTTGATCCTTTCCAACTCTGTTGTCATTCTGGGTGCTCATTTTTCTTTTTCCCACCTGGGAAAAATAAGCAGAGGCCCAGGGTTTGTTGTTAAGTCAAATCGCTTCTCAACCATCTTTGAATTGGCAGCAAATTTTCCCGGCGTGACGTTGGCCGTCCCCCTTTCCTGTCTTGCTTGGCAACCCTTGTAGACTATCCAATAGACAGCAACCTTGAGCCGATCTGACACACTTTGAGGCTACCCACAAAGGGTGTCAAATGAACAGGGGAAATGTACCTTGACAGCCGCCTTCGTAAGGCTAATGTACTCCTGTTGTAGTTTGGGGGAAGATACAAAAGCAGAAAAAACTCTGGTTGCCGGAAGATATTTAGGTCATATTTAGATACCGATCGAGGAAGCTTCCAAATGTACATTCAGAAGGACACCCAGGTTGGTAATGTACGTAGGAAATGGAGCCCGGATTGCTAGCTGATTATGGGCAGTCCTCGATTTACGACCACAGTCTCTGTTGCTAAGAGAGGCTTTTGTTAATTGAGCTCCATTTTACGACCTTTCTTGCCATTGCTGCTAAGTGAATTGCTGCAGTCATTAAGTGAGCCATGCGGTTACTAACCTGTTCACTAACTCCCTAAACTTGTTGTTAAGCGAATCTGGCTTTTCCCTGAGCTTTGCGTGCCAGAGGTCGCAAAAGGGGATCGCGGTACCCTGGGATTCTACCACCGTCATAAGTATGAATCAGTTGCCAAGCATCTGAATTTTGATCGTGTGACCGTGGGGATGTCGCCACGGTCGTTAAGTGTGGAAAGTAGTCATAGGTCACTTAATTCAGTGCTGGGGTAATTTTTTCTTCTCCTTCCCTCTTCCTTCCTTCCTTCCTTCCTTCCTTCCTTCCTTCCTTCCTTCCTTCCTTCCTTCCTTCCTTCCTTCCTTCCTTCCTTCCTTCCTTCCTTCCTTCCTTTTCTTCTTTTTCCTTCCCTCTTTATTCCCCTTTCTTCTTCCTTCCTTTTCTTCCTTTTTTCTTTTTTCTTCCCTCTTCATTCTCCTTCCTTCCTTTTCTTCTTTTTCCTTCCCTCTTCATTCTCCTTTTTCCTTCCTTGCTCTCTTCTCATCTTCCCTTCTTTTTCTTTGTCTCTTCTCTTTCCCTTTCTCCTTTCCTGGCCCTCCTTGGATGCTCAAACACAAATACCATTTCTGTCTATATGTTTTTACTTTGTTTTGCTAGCCTTCTGACAGTGAAAAACGGAGCTGGCTTATTCCTATTCATGCAACCCTCCCGAGCTCCGTTTTCGCTGGCAGAGGCACCACAGGCTGATCCTTCGTTGTTTCCAAGGTGGCCCCTCATGGGCCAGATCTAAGCACCCCAAGGGGCAGAATCCGGCCTTCAGGCCTTGAGTTTTGACACCCCTGGGTTAGCAAATTCTGGATTTGTCTTTGGAGATTCTCAAGTCATTCAAGTTATGCTTGTCAGTAAGCCTGACAATTGAGCCCCAATTTTTCAGTTACTAAGTGAGACGTTTGTGAAGTGAGTTTTGTCCCATTTTACGAATTTCCTTGCCATGGTTGCTAAGTGAATCGTGCCCATTGTTAAGTTAGTCGCGTAGTTGTTAAACGAATCTCACTTCCCCATTGAGAAGGTCGCAAAAGGGGATCGACATCCACTGAATGCAGCTAGCAGGGCGTTTTAATGGCCAGACGCCCTTCCTGTCACCAATGCGGAGTTTTGTTGCCAAGCATCTGGATTTGGGGACGCTATGTGAAAACCAGTTATAAGTCACTTTTTTCAGTGCAGTTGTCACTGAATGAACTGTTGTAAGTTGAGGACTACCTGTATTACTAGCCCATAAGTTAAACCAACAAACCTAGTTTGTGTGAGCAAGGTTATCACAAATGGAGGTTAACTTCTTTTCCCCCCAATTTTTTTTATTTTTTATTCTCTTACATACCATTGTAAGTATACATTCGCATAATTGTTATTCTTCTTTACATTTGTCATTCTTATACATTTATTATGAGCCAAGATGGTGCAGTGGTTAGGGTGCAGTACTGCAGGCCACTTCAGCTGACTGTTATCTGCAGTTCAGCGGTTCAAATCTCACCGGCTCAAGGTTGAC